AAAACTTAAAATCTAAATCCAGCCTTTTGACCTTAAACTACCTTTTTATGTATTAGGGCCACTAAAAGTCTAAAACAGACATTAGATTTATTTAGTATGTCAAAACCATACAGGGAACATTGTCAAATATGAAATGGCGTTTAACTTTGTTTGGGCTATACTTGTATAGATATGTTATTAGTATGTGTTCCAGTACTGTAAAACATTGACGTGTCTTGGGGTGTGTTATCAAGTAATAATTACGGTTATTATGTAAATTGCTATATGCCAGAAAAGTAACCAGTTTGGTTTATCAATTGTCTCTATCTGTGGCGAGTCCAAGTTCTGTCATCTTTAGAAAATTATTTTTCTTTAATTCATCTCGGAAAGTGGTTCTTTCTGGCTGAGTCCAAAGTTGGCTTCTTTAAGTAAAGTCGTAAAAAGGACTGACAAATCCACCTGAATACTGGTTTCTAGTATCTTTGGAGATTATATACCACCGGACTAAAACAAAACAAACTTCCAGGACTTTAATTTTAATTGGAAAACTGATACGACCATGGGTCTAGCTAACTCAACCTCATGACACTGAACTAAATTTTCGCAAAAAGACTCTTTATTTAAACATTACTAATTTCGTTTTGTTTTCCAGAGTCCTGACAGATTTTAAGTATACAGCAAGTTTACCTGATCTCCAGGACCTAGAACCTTGGAATCTACCAAAGCCCTGTTCAAATATCCTCCCTCTAGGCCCAGGGACTATCGCGGAAGAGGGGGCGTGTGAGATCGTAAGGGCCGATTCCGAGGGATGGAATTAGTTTAGACCCTCCAGATCAAGCAGGGGCACACAGAAGCCTAAAGGAATACTAACTGAAATGCTCTGTCTTTTCAGGCCACATGCTGCAAAAATCCATCCCAATCATAAATTTTTTTTTTTCTATTTCCTATAGACTTAGAACTTCCTGAGTATAATTTTTCTCAGTTATGGATTTATACAAAAGGAGATATAATGAGTAATTTATCAGCCACCTTAGTGTAAACTACTAAAGAGACTAAAATATTATGACACAATAAAAGTCTCTAGGTTACCTTAGCTTAAATATTAATGATGCTCATATTTGCCACAAAACTACCAATAAGCCCAAGAATATAGTAGTTCAACATTTATAGGTAAGTTAGTTTTGTAGCCTTGCCTTTGACATTTTGGATTTTATTCTTATGTCATTTAGAAGATTTTAAAGTGCTAATGAGTGCCTGTCTGCCTCCGGTCCTGTTTGGCTTAAAATATTTAATTGGCTGTGAGCCCCTTTTTGGCTCTTCAGTTCTCTTGGCCACGAGGGTCCCACGGAGGGACTGGATGGACCCAGGGCAGGTAGCCACACCACGCTGGCAACGGATGGGACAAAATAAGAGTTTGGCCATAGATGCTGCCTCTGACAGATCTTGGCCAAAAGGGGGGAATTGTGAACTAAAATAGAATTTTAAGGCTCATCCCCCCACCGGCTGACTAAATGGACCCCCTCGTGGCCAAAGGAATACTCTAAAACTAAATTGCCTGCCAAGAGGAAGGAGGTCAGACATGCCTTATCATGCCCCCCTCCCTTCTTGGGGACACCCTTTGTAACCCATTAACAGGGCTAAGGCTATGTTAGCCAAGACACACCTGCAGGTCCTCAATTTGCACAACAAATCTATGTCCAGTGGCTCATCTCTGATAAACAGCTCCTTGTGTTAAAACATTCCAAGCCTCTAGACAAAGCTTCATGTCTTTAACCAATTACAGGCCAAAGAATCTTTGAACCCACCTATAACCTATAAGCCCCCGCTTCGAGATGGCCCACCTTTTCAGGCCAAACCAATGTATGCCTCCCATGTATGATTTATGACTTTACCTGTAACCCCCGTCTCCCAGAAATGTATAAAACCAAACTGTGACCCAACCTCAGCGAGTCCACTTGCTCAAGGCCTCTTGGGGGTGTGGCTCCGGGTCATGGTCCTCAAATTTGGCTCAGAGTAAATCTCCTTAAAATTATTTTACAGAGTTTGGTCTTTTTTCCCATTGACAATAGAAAATCCAAAAGCAGATGGAAGGAAACCACAACGTTTAGGGACTTACGGTCTAGAGGTAAAATTACAAAGGAAAGGTAATTTTTACCATGAGATTCTCGTTTTGGGGGAGGGGGCTGCCCCACAATGCCTCTGGGAGGGCTCACAGGGCAGCTGGACGCTCCAGCCTGGGCTTCGTGGATGCCTTGAGCACGCGGCCCGTGCACCAGCGCCAGTTGTGGCACACAGACCAGTGAAGGTCAAAGACCCAGCGCCCTCCCCCTCAGCTGAGGACTGAGCCACCTCACGTCATAACCAGCCAGTCCCACTTTTAAACCTTTGGAATATAAAAAGGTTCGAGAGACATTTGCAATTTGTGAGCTTCGATCCACAGCGGGGGCCTTTGCAGAGCGAGACGACCCCTAGCTCCACTGAGACAGCTGAACCTGCACCAGTGACGGGGCTGTCAGACAGATAAAGCTTAAAGCACATCAGTAAAATAATTTTCATGCTAATTTTCCTCCCACTTCTCTATCCCAGCAATAAAAATGGAACCGTCGCTGCACTTATTCTCCAAGATAAACTCGGCTACGATGTGCAGACAGCACCTATGAAATCAAACCGTACGACTCCTACAGCTCAAAAAAGCTGGGCTTTTAGCTGTTACCGAAATGGCATTTACTGAGAAGCTGTCACATGCCAGAGACTTCCACAAATGGCCACTTCCAACAACCCACGACTTTCCGCAAGAGACTGTCCCGTTTCCCCGTCAGGACACTGAGCACCGGCAGCGCCTGGAACACTCGCGGCGGAGTGTCCGCCCTCCTCACACCGCTGGGGGCAGCACCAAGGGGGCCCTCAGGAGGGGTCCTGCTCACGCCCCCGGGTGCCACCTCTTGGCTCTGCCACGAGCCACTCCCTGTTACAGCTCAAACACTAAGATCTGCCAAAGGGACCCAGAGAATTTCAACTGTGTTTAAATAAATGCAAACAGCAGGAATGAATTTAAAACAAAAACTGAAGTGCGGAAATGACCAAAACACCCGCGGTGTGTGGCCGCTGTTCTCTGATGGAAACGCCATTACGCAGCAAGGAGACCACCCGGCACAGAGCTTCCCCGGGGCAGGGGACTGCTGGGGATAGGGCACCAGACGCGGGTTCCCCTCCTCCAGAGAGGACACGGCCAGGTGGGCCGGGGCAGCAGCACGGCCGGAGGGCTGAGGGGGCCGGCGGGGCCAGGCCTGGCAGGAGCAGAGGTGGCGGCCGCCTCAGACCAGGACTGGCCAGAGCCTCTCTGTCCAGGAAAAGAGCCCTCGGGCGCCTGAGGCAGGTCCCGGAGGAAGGGCTGGAGCCCTCGGGGGCCGTGCCTGCATCCCACCCACGAGCTCTGGGCCCAGGCGAGGCCAGGACTCCTGAGGCGCCTTGTCTGACGGGCTCCAGGCTGGATCCGCAGAGAGGAAAAGAAAACGGACACAAAATCGGAAAAGAAACGAAATCGGTGAAGAGCAGCGTTAATAACCAAAGCAGCCCGCAGCCCGGGAGGTAGGGGACGGCCACGTCCCCAGGTCTGGCAAACTCCCGCCACACCAACCGCCAGAGTGTGAGCGGCCCACACAAGGCAGCCCCGCGACCCCCCGACGCTCCCCTGCATGGCTGCGCACTGCGAATCTCCACCCCAGCCCGAGCTGGAGCCCACACGCCCTGCCCGCCGCGCCGCCCAGCCCCGTCGCTATCCGCGCAGTCTCCGTGAGCCCGGGCACCTTACCACTTGCTGGGCAATGTTGACATTGGACTGTCCGAAGGTTTTCGGCAAGAGCTGCTTCCCCAGCGGGTTTACCGTGGATGGGTGAACGGCCACCAAGGACACGACGCCTGCAACACAAGGACAGGGTCAGAGTGGGGTCTCCGCCCCAAATCAAGGCTACGGCGGCAGTTGCAGGAAGACGAGGCTTCCAGTGAGAGACTCTCTCACTTTTCATTTAGACACACAGCTCGACCACGAATACGTCCACGAAGCTCCGCCCCCCACTTGGGAACCGTGAGGGGGGCCGCCCAGACGGGACGCATGGGCTCCTTCGCAACGGCCGGCTCCTCCCCGGCACCACGCGGGGCTCAGGCGAAGCTCCCCGGGGTTGTCCACTGCCCACGGTGCAGGAGGGGCCGCGCGGCCCGGGAAGTCTGTGAGTCCAGCACAATCACGGGATGGAATTTTAAAACCGACTTTTACTCCAACGTTTCCCTATATAGCTGCAAAACGAGTTCGGAAATCTAATAAATCAGTTTCTCCTTTAAGAGAATCGCAAGTCTGGCCACCGCCTCTGTACGCACCGACACCCCGGAGCAGAAGTGGAGCCGGGGGACCAACCCGCGCAGAGACGCAGTCCTTGCCCCTCAGCGGCGCCGTGGAGAGCGCGTGCACAGAAACGTGATGAATAAAAATCATGAAATATTTCCTTTATGTGATAAATCGTAAAACGAATCAGAGTTGATTAAGATTCAAAAAATGGCACTAGAGGGCAGAGAGACCCAGGTGGTGGCTCCCAGGGACGCCGCGGAGGCAGGTCGGGGAACCACGAAGCTGGAAGGGCCGCGGGCGGCAGTGAGTCCCGGGTGAAGAACGAGAGTGATTTTGGGTCCTGACAACACCAGGAAAGGAGAGATTCCCACCCCACCGAGGCGCTACCCCTCGGGTCCCTCCAAACGGGTCCCTCCAAGAGCCTGGCCTGCCCCGCCCGTCCCACCTGCCCCACACCCCCCGCCGCCCGCCAGAGGGGCCGGGAGCAGCGCTGGGCCTCGCGCTTCCCTTCACTCCTCGGGTCAGTGCCCACCTAACCTGCAGTGACCAGGAAGGTTCATCCTGGGGCCTCTACAGCCCCCATGCTTTACATAAGTCTGTTGCTTCGTGTGCATCTTAAAGAAACGATAGGCTGCTTTAAAATAGGTTAAATAATGAATTTCGCTGCTACATGTGAACACTGAATAGTTTTTCTTAATAACCTAAGTGGATCAAGACGGAAAATCAGGGCCGGGCGCCGTGGCTGACTCCTGTGACCCTAGCACTCTGGGAGGCCAGGCCAGAGGATCGTTTGAGCTCAGGAGTTCGAGACCAGCCTGAGCAAGAGCGAGACCCCGTCTGTACTGAAAATAGAAAAAATTAGCTGGACAACTTATATATATACAAATTAGTTGGGCGGGGTGGGTGGCTCCCACCGTGCTGGGTGGGTTCTTGGTTTGCTCTTGGTTTCCACTGTGTGAAACACCTCTCGCGTGCCGGGAGCGTGCCGGTCGCTCCCGGGTGGCTCCGGTTTGGTGTCACTTTGTTGTCTTTTTTTCGTTTTTTGTGGGCTTGCTGAAGTTCCGGTCCCTTTAGCGTCCTTGGCGCCCCCTGGGCCTGCCTGGCGGTTGCTTGGGTCTTCCGTCCTGTCTGGCGCGCTCTGAGGCCTGGGCTGAGGGTCGTGTTTGTGGTTGTTTTTTTGCGTGTTGTGGTGTTTGTTGTGCGCCTTTTTGTCTGCCGTTTTGGAGCCACCCGGCTGAGTCCTTCACCCTCGTGACGCTACTCCGCCACAGAAACACGGCTCCGTGAACACATGCCCTGCGAACACGCCATTGGCTCCCACTGACGTGCACGCGCGTGCAGGCGTCTCAGGCGCACCTGCTGCCGGGCGGCCTCGGTCCGGGTGCCTTTTGTCCGGGACTCTGGCCCCGCGGGGCCGTGTGGCTGGAACGCGACAGCGGAGGGGCTGTCGCTCCGGTCCCTGCCGCCGTTACCTCTGCAAGACCAGTCGGTTCCTGCCAATCTCAAGGGTACAGGGGTTTCATTTCGTGTTAATCTGGCAACATAAACAGGACATTTTACACACTTCCCTGATGAGGTGGCCACACACGGCCTTCTTGGGAGGGAGGACTGATGACGCGGTTAGCGGGGTCATGCTGGCCTGCAAGCCGACTGCCCAGAATACACATGGTTTAAACCGCAAAACGTACAACAAAGCCTCTTGCGAAGCAGTGATGTCAAAAGATTTTCATGTGTCATCATAAACGGGGAATTCCCATCTCGGCAAGAAAACTGGGTGAGATCATACACCGTCTCACCTGCCAGGATCCACGGACAGGAAGAGGATTCTAAATCTACCACGTGAACATTTTTACAGTTACTCATCGCATTTCATTAATATCTGCAGAGTTTAAGATCAACTAAGGAGGGATAAAGCTGAGTGTTTTCTCAAAAACAACTCTAACTACACATCCTGAAGTTTCTTAAGCCAAGCGTTTCACGAGTCGCTACCTGGGCACGTGCTGGAAACACAGCCAAACTCGGGCCTTTGCCACCTGCGGGCACCTGAGCAGGTAAAACACAACCTGCCCCTCTGTCCTCGGCACGTGCTGGTGTCTGAGCCACCACGGGAGGACGCCCCCACGGCCCTGCCCAGACCTGGCGTAGACTCAGGGAAACGGCTCCACGCCTGCTTCCTGATGGGACAGGCTGAAGCGCAACCTCGAGGGCACAGGCCACACCCCCACGGTGGCCGGACACGGCTGGCCCGACAGGCAGGACCCGCCTGTGAGAACCTGCGGGTGCCGACCGTGTCCACAGCCAGGGGACGCCGCTCGGAGCTCCGGGAAGCAGCCACGCTGGAGTCACCGCGCTGCCTCAGCCCAGGACAGGTTACGGCTCAGACATGTCACCGAGGGGCTGAGGACAGACACTGAGCTTTTAAATGTCCTTTGGGCCACAGAGGGGCAGGATGAGAGGAAGCGGCTTTCTCTGCACCCCGGGGGCAGCGTTCTCAAAGGTGGCCAGAAGGCGCCCCCGTCCCCGACATCAAGCCCCCGAGGGCTGCAGAAGGACCGGGTGGAGTCGCCCACGACCCAGGGTGTCTCGGGGGGAGCAGCTGCCACGAGTCAGGAGTCCCGACGGCCACTGCCTCGTCCTCTCCCCCCACTGAGAATCCCGGCCTAAAGCCGAGACGCGGCACTGACGCAGAGGGAGGCGGACGGCACCGTCGGCCAGACGACTCGGGCAGCAGCCCCAGGCCGAGAGTCCGCAGAGGAAAAGCCCGACCACCTGCCCACGCGTCAGGGCGCCGCTGTGCCGGCCGTGACCTGGTGCCCCAGGGCTTCCCGGCACAAAGACGGGTTTATTGTGTTAGCGATCAGCCACATGGTGTCGGGGAGCTCGGGAGCAGAGGTCACAAACGACAGAGGTGACAAACAGCGCCACGCAGCTGTTGGAACCACGACAGGAAGCCCCGATAACCGAGAATGGAAGTCACCGCAGCGCGGACACGGCCACTGGCCGTCACAGACGCGCAGCATCAGGAACAGGTGCGCCGGACTGGATGCGGCATTCAAATGCATGCACACGCTCCCGCCTGCACTCCCAGGCCAGGCGCTGGCTTTGCGGCGAGCATCAGTCGCTCCACACGGACGGGAGCGGAGAAGTCCCTGAGCGCCACACGGCACTCGGCCAGCGTGGTCTCCCCGGCTGCTCCCCAAGGACACGGGGCCAGGATGACACTAGCCGACAGGAGGGGGTGAGGTGCCATGGGCGAGGCAGGGCCAGAGCTCGGTAACGGGCAGAGCAACCTGGACAGACACCACCAGCTCCACAGGAGGGCACAGGTGTGTCCGAGAGAAGGACCCTGAGGCACAGGAAGCCCCAGCCCAGCGACACTGAGTGCGGGTGAGACTCGAGCGGCCCTGACGCTCTGTGAAAGGCAGCGGCCAGGCGGCCCGGCAGCTCCTCTGCCCGGAGGGCGAGCACGCGTGTCCACGCTCAGGTGTTCTGCCAGCACTTGGCCACCAGCCAGCGATGCGGAGCAAGCCCGACGGCCACGCGATGGAACAGCCCACATGAAACGCGTCGTCTCACACTCCACGTGGGGCCTCGTCCTCAGGGTCTGTGGGTGCGAAACGCCGCGAGTCTGGTCATCTCACTAGGAGAGCAGCTTTCTGGCTCCCGGGCGCGATGGTGGGTGTCGCGTGTCACGCTGACAACGCCCCACTGCAGAGGTGCTCGAAGAGGCACAGGGCATGGGCAGGGGGCTGTGAGGAAGGAGGAAGTCCGCCGTCCCGCACAGGACGTGGCACACGGACGCTCAGCAGCCGCCTGCGCACGGCAGGCTCTTGGAGGCAGGGGGGTGACGGACGTCGGCCCCTGCCCTTTTGTTCACGGCCTCGGGGAGTCGCGAGGAATCCCAAGGTAAATATGGACACACTGCACATCACTACTGGATTCCTTTAGAATAACGTGTTCACTGGCACCGGAGACTTTATCTGCGTGTTCTTTCCACACGTTCTCTGTGTGTCCTTGCTTTGACATCGCACGCCTTTCTCTGCAGTCAACACGGAGATCTGGAGATGTGTGGAAGCTCTTTGAAAGAAGAGTCTCTCCTCCTCCAGCCTGAGGCCGTGGTCTGGAGCGTCCTTTGCTGCGCTGTGATGCTCGCGTAGACACGCCGGACCATCTCTACACCCCGCCACCCAGGTGTCCGGCACACACCTGCCGTGGCGCCGCCTGGGCTCTTCAGCGAGCAGCTCTGGGTGGAGGAGACCCCTCCGCGCTGCGGCTGGGCCTCGTCCGACCGCCAAGGCCACGCGCTCCTGGAGCAGGCCCTGCCTCAGGGTCCGGCACCCACCGATGCGCGTTTCCAGCCGCCCCGCTGAGCTGGGACCCGCCACCCCACAAACAGGAGGCCGAACCCTGGAAATAGTCCTGCCCCGGGCGTGAGCTGTCCCCACTGCTCCGCCCCTGGAGAGCTCGGGGACCGGGGAGCCCGGTGGTGGGCGGGGGGGCCGTTTCCGAGGAGGCACAGGCACCCTGAGCTCCGCTGGGGACAGCACCTGGAACCACGTCCTGCCGGGAGCCCGTCCTCGGGGAAGCCAGGGCCGTGCCCGACACGCAAATGGACACAGGGTCCCGTCTGTCAGAGGGAATTCTCCACAACGCGCCAGAAGCCGGGCCGGGCGCCCACCTGCTGGGGGCAGGAGAGGAGGGACCTGGCCGAGCGGAGACTCCCCTGTGGGCCTCGCAAACTGCAGAATTTCAGAAGGTGAAACTGTCGCTGACTCGGAAGTCAGTCTGAGGTGTCTGCGCGTGAGATGGAAGCAGCTCTGAGCGCCAGGCCGGGCGTGGCGCGGGGCCGTCGGAGGCCGACAGGCCTGCTGCCTGCCAGCCCTGGGGGCAGAGCTGACTGGTCCCGGGGCTCCTCTGGGGACAGAGTGGCCACAGCGACCACCGCAGCTGGGGACACCTCCGGATGAGCCAGGCGCCAACAGGAGACCGCGAGGACCAGGTCAAACGCGCACATACCGCGATGGGTTGACACCAGAGAGTTCCATCCCGTCCCTCGAATCCAACTCTGTGGCTCGCGCTCACGCTCAGCACAGACGTGTCAGTGAGGACGGAAAAGGGACGAGAAAGCTCCCTGGGTGTGTCCTGACGGCGGAGGTCAACGTGAGCGCCGTGGTGACAGACGCCATCGCTTCCGAGCCAACAGAACTGTGAACTTCTCCACTCGATACAAAGCGTCACTCCTGAGACTGCTGCGAAGTTTCAACGTCCAGTCAGCGGCTGTGAAACAGCATCTCCTTCGAGCAAGCCGTGACCACTGCGTACTCCCGAAATAAAAAGCTCCTAAATATGAATCCTGAGAGGGTCAGGGTCAGGGTTAGTTTGACCTCCACCCTCAGGAAACAAGCAGGGAGGTGCCAACCGCAGCAGAAAAGCAGCCGCTGCGGCAAGCGCCGGGGTCGGGGCCGGGAGGGCTCGGGCCAGCTCCAGCCACGCCCGTCCTCCACCCTGCATGGGGAAGAGCCAGGGGAGCCGGGGCCAGGCCCCAGGAGGCATCAGCCCGGCCCCCGGGGGTCTCACACGCGCTGAGCTGCAGCCAGCGCCGGGAGGCTGCTGACCAGGGCCTCGCCGTCAAGAGGAAAAAGCTGATTTTATGCGCGAGAGTAATCTGAAGCATCAGGAAAGAGTGACGCTCAAACAGAGCCTGAAACCAGACGCCTCAGCCCCTGCGCCCGTCCGGCTAACACAGACCAGCGGACGCCACAGTGCAGAGCGCACCGTGGCCTCCCCGCCTCTGCCACGAACTCCTCCCTGGACAAAGTGAGCTTTCCCAAGGTTTGTCTTTGTGCCGTAACGACCTGCAGTCGCCGCCTCACGCGGCCATCGCGACTCCACACGCTGCCTCGCGGGGCTAAGCATTGCACGCCGATGGTTCAAGCTGGGGCACCCGGCCTGGCAACGGCCAGGATTCTGCACGGCAACCGCCTGAGACACGCATGCCCACTCAGACGCGTCCACCGTCCCGCCTGCAGGACAAGAAACCGCAAACCGCGGGGTCCTGGAAGAGACGCGGCTTTCACCCCCCACCCACGTCCCCCGTGGAGTGTCAAGACACAGAGAATGGCAGGTCCTCCGGGAGCCGCCACACCAGCGGGCAGGGGAGGGCGCCCGGGCAGGGCCAGGTGGGCACTGCGGTCCCTGCAGGCCCTTCCCCCCTTCTCCGCAGGAGCGTGCGGGACCCTGGCGAGGGGCTCCGTGCATTGGGTGGAAGGAAGATAAATGATCTTTATTTTCTTGTTCACATTACTCTACGTTTTCTGAATTTTTGCAAATAGTAAACGGGAAACTGGGAAGTTAGAACCAACAGCGCCGCCGGCGTCGGAGCGGGGCCCACCCACGAGGGCACGGAGCCCGGAGGCTCCCACGGCGGAGTTTCCGCAGCGAGCGAAAGCTTCCGGCCGGCAGATGCAGACACGCACGGACGCACGGACGCACGCCGCGGGCGGGTCCTTACCTCTTCCCGGGCTCAGGTTCTGGTCTATGAAGACCTCGAGCTCTCCGTTGGCTTCAATTAGACCGGCCTGCGGAAAGTAACAACACGACAGTAAATGCATCGTCCGAGAGCAGACGGCAGCGTCGTCAGCAAACGCCCTCGTCAGAGGGTCCGCGAAGTAAACGGGACGGCTCTCCGACAGCCAGGAGAGCACCAGGGCGCAGACGCCTGGGGTTACTTCGCGCCCGAAACGGCCGTCTACAGGGAAGGGGCCACGCCCACAGAATCCGTGTGGCTACAGCACGACTGGCGCGAGAGGAGCAGGGGCCAACAGCGCAGCCGCCGGTCAAACACCTTGGGAAGGCGTCTTGCCGACCGCCAACCTCGCCTGCGTCTTCAGGGAAGACAGTGAAGCCTTTTATTCTCCTCCGACTCTCGGCGCCCGGCTCTGCGGCAGAAATGCTGTCCCCAGGGCGGTGTCAGAGGGACAGCCCCTGGGAGCGGCGTGTGTGCAGGACACACATGGCGGGCTGCACCCTGGCGCACACACGGTCAGCTGCGCGGCCCGCACATGGGGCTGGTGGATTCCAGCCCAACACACTCTTCCACACAAGCAAGCAGGGTGATGAGCTGTGGCCCCACGCTGGAGGTCAGGGGTCGCACGGGGTCAGTCAGCTAAGCCCAGCAAGGCCACTGGGGCAGTTTCCTGGACTTCTTCAAAACTCCACCTTCCTTACCCAAAAGAACAAAAGACAGACATTCTGTAAACAAGACATCTGCACCCGAATGTTTATAGCAGCACAATTTACTATCGCAAAGATGCGAAAACAACCCAAGTGCCCATCAATCTATGAGTGGATTAATAAAATGTGGTATCTGTATACCATGGAGTTCTGCTCAACCACAAAAACAGTGGTGATCTAGCACCTGTATTATCCTGGATAGGGCTGGAGCCCATTCTACTAAGCGAAGTATCACAACAATGGAAAAACAAGCACCACATGTGCTCACCACCAAACTGGTATTAACTGATCGACACTTAAGTGCACATATAGCAGCAACGTTCATCGGGTGTCAGGCAGATGGGAGGGGGAGGAGGAGGGGGTGGCATATTCACACCTAATGGGTGTGGTGCTCACTGCCTGGGCAGTGGACACGCTTGTTGCTCTAACCTGGGCGGTACGAACGTAACCCAAACATTTGTACACCCATAAAAATTCTGAAATTAAAAAAAAAAAAAACAACAACAACTCCCCTTTCCCACAGAAGACGAGGAAGAGGACAGCTGCCCGCGTGCTCCCGAGCTCCCCAGGACGACGGCAGGGGCACAGCCAAGTAGGCCAGGGAAGACCACCTGTGAAGGACCCAACACGTCCACACTGCGTTAAACCCCAGGAGAGCCACCTGCCACAGGCCAGGGCGCCGGCATGCCAGGCCGGGTAGGAACGTGGGGCCCGGGGACCTGGCGCCGGCGAGAGCACAGGCCCACAGAGCCGCGACGCCCGGGCCACGTGCTCTGCTGCGGCACAGCCTCAAGGGCAACTCCACGGGCAAGACCCCCGCGACCCCGGACCACGCCCCCTGATGCCACCGCACCCGACAGAGCAGCAGCACCGACGCGCAGGTGCTCGGCACAGAGGTGGCCGTGCAGCCCGTGTCCCAGCGGGGGCCAGAGGCCGGGGCAGGGCTGTGCTGGGCCCGCCAGAGTGCTCCAGGCGCAGCAAGACCCAGCACTGCTGCCACCAGGAACGCAGAGACCCGGCCCTGGGCACAAGGCCCCAGAGTGAAGGCTGGGAGGCTGAGACCAGGAGAGCGAGGCCATCAGGTGAGGACAGGAGGGTGAGCCGTGCTTAAGGCCAAGCGAGTACAGGCAGGAGGGGAGGGCCGCAGATTAGGTTATTAACACGGCCAGGCGGTCGGACCTGGAGGGCAAAGCCAGGAGACTAAAGCCAGCGGGTGAGACCAGGAGGTTAAGGCCGTTGAGGAGGGCCAGGAGGGGCAGGCGAGGAGGCTGCGGCTGGTCCGTAAGACCAGAGTGGTAATGCCAGGATGTTAGGGCCAGGTGAGCAAGCCAGGTATGGAGGAGGAAGAGGTCAAGGCCAGGTACAGCGAAGGGAAGGGAAGGAAGGGTATGGCTTGGAGGTTAAGACCAGGGCTGGGCCAGGCCTGAGTCCCAGTTTCGGCAACTATGGCTGTGGGCCCCCAGCCTCTGCTGCAGGCCGCGTGGGACACCCTCAGCCAGGCAAGGTGGGGCGAGGCTTTGGCACGGCGCCAGGTGCACCACAGGTTCAGGCCAGCATCGCTCTGGCATCTGAGCCAACACGTCGCTGGGGCGGGACAAACCTGCCTCGTGCTGGACACACAGCAACCACATCAGGGACGGCCACGTTCCCTGCCTGGCGTCAGGCCTATGGCCCCAGGCCCTCCAACCGTCCCTTGGCAGCCCCTCACACAGCTCCACGGTGGCCCCCAAAGCTACTTTGCTGACTTGTTCGCCACCCTCCCACGGCACCAGGCCCGAGAAACCCACAGGGTGGGGGAGTGGGGGGCTCCCCGGGTGGGGCAGAGGGGGCAGGGCAGGCCCCCCGCCGCCCATGCCCACGAGACCCCCAGGGACGCCGTCTCCCTGCGTCCCGGAGAACCCTGCTGGGGCAGGACTCAGGCGCATCGCCCGACACAGCATCGACGCCGGGGACGCGGCGCACAGACACGGCCCAGGGCAGGGACTGCGAGGATGCGCCGTGGGTGCTTCTGTTTACGCACCTTCTGTCCCCGCGCAGAATCACCGTCTCTCCACACGGCAGCGAGAGCACCGGCCGCCTCTGCCAGGGAAACTCCGGAGGCCACGC